TTTGAAAAAAAAATCAAGATGTTATCATTTTCTCAAGCCGAGATATATGCAAAACAAAGATGTCTTGCAAACATTTTTATTATGCTGAAAAATAGCTCTAGTATTTAGGTAGTTCGTTATGAGTGTGGAAAAACCAACAGAGCAAGTCAAGAGAGACTTGTTTACACGAACTTTGTAGAGCTTTTCATGGTGCATCTTTTAAGAAAAAAAAATCAAGATTTTATCATTTTCTCAATTCGGGATAAATGCAAAATACAAAATGTTGCAAAACTTTTAGAACACCCGGTATATAAATTTAATATTAAATTGATTAATCATAAAATATTTATTTAAAAAAAAAAAAGTTAAATTTCTATAGATTAACAAATATAACATCATTGGAAGAAGATTCTAATCAAGATGAATATATAAAATATAATAAAAAAATAATTAATTCATATCAAATGGTTTGCAGTTTAAAACAATCAATTAGTATATTATGGCTTGAATTTTTAACTGATGTTAGATTTGGTTTTAATTATACAACATTTCGTTCAATATTTTCTGAAATAATTCCATCATTATTAGTTATTTTTTTAAATATTGGAATAATAATAAATGTTATTAAAGCTACATTATCATTTTCAAAAACAAATAAAAATTCTTCAATAAATATTCGTCAAATTCATAATAATAATTCATTTAAAACAAATGAAAATTTTGATGGTTTAATTGTTCATAATCGACCACGTACATCTTGGATGAATATTGTTTTAATAATTCATTCATGTCTTTTCTTTTTTTCATCATTAACATCAACAATTGTACATTGGTCAACATCTAATCCATTATTATCACATTGGACAAGTGTTGTTATATTAGCTAATTGTTCATTAAATTTTTATGTTTATTGTTTAAGTGGAAAATCATTTAGAAATGAAATTAAAAAATTATTATATGATTATTTTCAATTATATTGTTTTATTAAATTTATGAATTTATTTCGAAATAAATCTCAACGTGAACAAGTTCAACAAACAATTCGAATGCGTATTATACGACATAGAAATAATAATTTATCAGCACAAACAAATACTAATTTACAAACACCTTCATTTACTCAAAGATAATTATTAACTTTTTTTTTTCTTTTTCTTTTTCTTTTTCTTTTTCTTTTTTTTTTATTTTATCTATTCAATTTAAATTTATTTTAATTAAAATCATTCGAATATTAACTAAAGAGATTTTCTTTTAAACAACAACAATTTAAAAAACTGAAAATATCATTTAAGATTTCTTTACAAATTCAATATTATCAAAATATAATACAAATCAACAATATTTTATTTTATTTTTTTTTATTTTAACATATTAAACAATAATAACAATTCTTAACTATTAATGCACTTTCTCTTCATCTCAACTCATTATAAAAAATTCATCGTTATCGTTTGCTTTTTTTTTCTTAATATTACCAATTCTATAAAATAGGCAATATAGGACACTATCATTCTCACATCGATAAAAATAATATTTCATTTTAAAATTTGAATTAAATTGAATAATAGTTTATATTCATTTTAAAATTAATATTCAATATATATTTATTTAATTATTATTTGAAAGTGAGTTGAAATAAATAATATATTCATTTTATTAGTTAATTAATTAATTATATTAATATGAATTATATTTTAAA